TTCTACTGTATAATAATTCTAAAAAAGAAGAATAAAAAGATAAAACCAACTCAACAAGAAATGTAATATCAAGTTTTTAAAACTGTCTAACAGGTAAATATTATAAGAAGGATTTTTATCCGTTTATTATTAACCAAATAATAAAATTTGTACAGTGGCTTAAATGAAAGTCTTAATTTGAAAACGCTTATTAATTAAACGGTTTTCAAAATATATAATAAATGCAGAAAAAATTAAATTATAATAAAAATATGGTATTTTTAATAGTTTAAATAAAGATGTTTATTTATATTTTGAATAAATATATAGTAATAAATGGCCGGATATAGTAAGACCTCGATTATTTCCAATTTTTTTATTTTAAAAACCTTGACACTTTCCAAATTGAAGATTTTGAATTTTTTAGTAAATTGTTATATCAGCTAATAATTTAAATTAACTAACTTAAGATTACCTCGCATTTTACCAAAAAACTTCAAACAACCAATCAGATCTTTGAAATTGTTGAGGTTTGGAAATAATCGAAGTCTTACTGTATTTGATTACGGACAATTGATTCATTTGTGTTTTATTTGGACAATTGATTCTTGTGATTATTTGGTTATTAACAATGCTACAAATCGGGTTTTTATTTTTATATTAGTGTTTTTGATGGACATTTGATTCCAGAATAATACTATCAAAATGAAATAACGAATTGTTATTAAGTTAATTTTCATATAAATAATCAGGTTTGATTAACAATTTTGTTTTCTATGGACAATTAATTCCACGTGGATAATAATCATGTTATTAATTTAAAAAAAATACAACTGATTTATAAAAATAAAATGAATACTTTTTTGATTTGATTAAGCTTTTTCTGTTTTTTCTCATAATTTAACGAACAACAACCGCTTGCTTGTATTGTTTTGATTGGTTTATTGGTTTTTTATTTACTTTTTCTTTTGTGGCTGTTTGGGTGTTTATTTTTAATTTATCAATTCTTTCTTTTGTTTTTAAAACCAATGGTATTATTGATCCATTGCAACAATCCACGACTTCACAATTTTAATGCCAATATTTGTAACATCTTCGATCGAGTGTTCTATTTTTTTTCATTATCAATACAAACACAATTGTCTTTTTCAACATTCAATTCCGTTGATTGTGTAATTGGTGTTTTTATTAATTCATTAATCGTGTTTTTGTTTTGGGGAACCATTTCAAAATAAGAAGATCTCAACAAGTAATTAATGTTGCAAAGTTGTGATATAAATTGTTGATTTGTAATTAATTTTTTTGGTAAAGTTATATGTTAAATTTTCTATAAATGTATTTCTTGATACATTTTGTGATCTTTTTCTTTTAAACACTCCATCAAGCATGTTTTTAAATTGTTCATTTTCTTTTGTTTCTATTTTAATAATTTTATCAAACCATTCAACTTCGCTTGGATGTTTGTGTTGTAATCGTTTTGCAAATACAGAGTGAAAACTTTCACATATATTGTTTGTTCTTGTTTTACAACATTATTAATTCCACATTTCTTTTGAAAAAAAACATTCCCAAGCCAAGTTTGTTCGTAAGAGTTGTAAACTTT